TCTCCTCACAGCACTTGTGCTCCAGTCCCTTCCCCAGCCTCGTTGCCCTTCTCTGCACCTGCTCCAGCCCCTCCATGTCCTCCCTTCTTCATTTCCCTTTAAAGAAGAACAAATGCTGTCTGAAACAGCAGAACACAAAGCCAAAGCCACGACTTCCAGCACCTCAGTATTCCAAAACCAGGCAATCAAAGATATAGATCATCTTCCAGCTCACTGGGATCTGTTCCTATCAAGGATCCCTGAGCTCTAAGGAGCTCAGACACGTAGAACAGAGTCAGGATGGTGTAAATAACAGAAACAAGGAGGTGCACAGAGAGAGAATTTCCTCCCAGGTGAGCACTAACAGCAATGAGATTTGATGACCATAAAATCTGGTTCAGCACTGAGCCAGGGATTTGAAAGAAATCCAGAAGACAACGCCAAGAGAAATTGGCTGCATGGGAAGAGATGCCCTGACATCTGGATACGACATGACAACCTGGCTCCTGGGAGGGAGAGGTGATCTCCACAAACTTCAGGAGCACACAGAGAGGTCAGATGTTCTCCCCACTCCTTCCCGAGTGATCCAACAAAAGCTGACTCCTGCTCTCAGCCAGCAGCACCCCGAGGTTGCATCCCTGTTTCGGCCTCTTCCAGGCAGGCTGTGCCTCTGGAAAGGGAGATGCCAAGTGCACATCCCCACAGGAGCAGAGCTGTGGAGAGGACTCCTCCTTTCTGATCCCACACAACACCAGTCAGATCACTTTGGAACCACACTTCCCAAAAATAAGGCTCTGCAGGTATCTCAGGGGATTGTACACCAGCTTAATGGAGAATTTATCTTCACCTACACAGACACGCAGCAAAACCAGCCAAGGCAAAAAATTCCACTCTTAACCCCCGAGGATTTTTTTTTCTTCCTCCTTATACAGCTGATGTTTCCCCAGGAAAAAAAAAACAGATCAAATATCTACATTTATTAGGGGTAACATTGACTGAAGGGGGTATAAATATCTATTTCTATTAAGCCAACCAATTATGTTAAAGAGGGAAACCAAAGCAAACCAGAAGGTTGCTCCTGCCAGCCCCAGCTTT